GAAAACCCTTAGAGACTCCCATCAAAAAACTGTTACAGCTAATAAGCAAATATAGTTCATTGCAGGATACAAGAAATCAAGAATCAAAAATCAGTTGTGTTTCTATACACTAAAAATGAACTATCAGAAATCAAGAAAACAATCCCATTTTCAGTTACATCAAAAATGATAAAATACAGGGTGCCTGGGTAGCTCAGTCAGTTAAGTGTTCGACTTCAGCTCAGGTCATGATCTCACAGTTTCTGAGTTCGAGCTCCACATTGGGCTCTGTGCTGACAGCTCAGAACCTGGAGCCTGCTTCGAATTCTGTGTCTCCCTCTCTCTCTGCCCTCCCAAACTCACACTCTGTGGCTCTCTCTCTCTCTCTCAAAAATAAACAAAAATTTTAAAAATGCTAAGATATATAAGAATGAATTTCATGAAAATGAAGTGAAAGACATATATTGAAAACTATAAAATGTTGAAGAAAGAAATTGAAGACACAAATAAATGGAAGGATGTCCCATGCTCCTAGCCTGGAAGAATTAATATTGTTAAAATCCCATACTACTCAAAGCAGATTCAGTGCAGTTCTTATAAAAAATTCCAATGGCAGGTCACCTGGGTAGCTAAGTCAGTTAAGCGCTGAAATTCAGCTCAAGTCATTATCTCCCAGTTCATGAGTTCAAGGCCTGACAGCATAGAGCCCATGTCAGATTCTCTGTCCCCTTCTCTCTCTGCCCCCCCTCACTTGCACACTCTCTTTCAAAAATAAACATCTAAAAAATTACAATGGCATTTTTTACAGAAGGAGAACACCCAATCCTCAAATTTGTATAGAACCATAAAGGACCCTGAATAGCCAAAGCAGTCTTGAGATGAAGAACAAAGCTAGAGGATCACGTTCCCTGATTTTCAACTGTATTACAGAGTTATAGTAAAACAGTGTGGTATTGGCATAAAAACAGACACACAGATCAATGGAACATAATACAGCACCCAGAAATAAACTCATTCTTATGTGGTCAATTAGCTTATGACAAAGGAGTCAAGAATATACAGCTGGGAAAGGGTATTGTCTCTTCAGTAAATGGTATTGGGGAAATTGAACAGCCTCATACAAAAGAATGGACCTGGACGACTGTTTTATGCCATAGACAAAAATTAAGTTAAATGGATTGAAGACTTAAACCTAAGACCTGAAACTCCTAGAAGAAAACATAGGCAGTAAGCTCCTAGACATAGGTCTTAGCAATGATTTTTTAGATCTGACAGCAAGAGCAAATGCAACAAGAGCAAGAATAAACAGTAGACTATGTCAAACTAAAAGCTTCTGTCCAGCAAAGAAAACCATCTGAAAATGAAAAGGCAACCTACCAAGTGGAAGAAAGTGTTTACAAATCATATGTCTCATAAGGGGTTAATGTCCAAAATATATAAAGAACTCCTGCAACTTGGTAGATTAAAAAGAAAACCTTATAGACACTCCAATTAAAAAATTGGTCAAACATCTGAAAAAGCATTTTTCCAAAGAAGACATAGAGATGGCCAATAGGTACATGAAGAGATGTTCTATGTCATTAATTATCAGGGAAATACAAACCGAAACTATCATGAGATAATACTTCATACCAGTTAGAATGGCTGTTATCAAAAAGGCAAGAAACAAGTGTTAGCGAGAATGTGAAGAAAAGAGAGCCTTGTGCACTATTGATGGAATAAACGTGTCCAGCCGCAATGGAAAACAGTATGGGTTTCTTCAAAAAATTAAAAATAGAACTGTGATATGATTCATTAGTTCTACTTTTAGATAGTGGAAGAAACACTAATGTGGGAGGATAAACCTTATTCATTCATTTACAATAGCCAAGATATGGAAATAACCTAAGTTTCCATCAATGGGTGAATGAATAAAGAAAATGTGCTGTGTATATATATGGTAGAATGTTATTCAGCCGTAAAAAAGAATGAAATCTTGTCATTTGTGACAACTTGAGGGCATTATCCTAAGTGAAATAAGTCAGAGAAGGATAAATAGCATGATCTCTCTTATATGTGGAATCTAAAAATAAATAAATAAATAAATAAATAAAACCAACCTCATAGATACAGAGAACAGAGAGGCAGGGGTTTGGGGGTGGGAGAAATGGGTAAAGAGTTTTGTTTGTTTTTAGTTTAAATAAGTTGAGTTATTCTTTATTTTTAAAATTTTAAAGTGTGATTATAGTACTGTAGTTATACTTTTTTTAAAAGTTCTTTTTAAAAAGTTCTTATTTTTTAGAGATCATATTAAAATAATTTATAAATAAAATTATGTGTCTAGATTTGATTCAAGTTAGTGGTAGGGAGGGCACCTGGGTGGCTCAGTTGATTAAGCATCGGACTTCGGCTCAGATCATGATCTTAACAGTCTGTGAGTTCTAGCCTCACACTGGGTTTCGTGCTGACAGCTCAGGCCCTGGAGCCTGCTTCGGATCTGTGTCTTCCTCTCTCTGCCCTTCCCCTGCTTGCACTGTCTCATTCCATCTCTCAAAAATAAATAAATGTTAAAAAAAATTTTTTTTAAATGATACTGGTAGGGATGCCTGCTGAGTATAGATGAAATAGTGTGATGGACATAAGGATTTTCATTATGCTGTTTTTATGTTTTTATAGATTTTTGAAGTTTTTCAGATTAAAATGTTTTTTAAAAGAGAGAAAGGAAAAGGTTTATCACCAATAGAATGTATACCATACTTAGGAAAACCCTAGTCTGTGGAATATTGGATTGAAATGATCCTGTCAATTATATTTCTTAATTTATGGACCTCACATTCTTTTGAGAATTTGATGAAACTATGGTTTTTGTGTCTAGAAAAATGTATATATACACAAACTTTGGAGTAAATTTCAGTTTTTCAAAAAACTGAAGGTCATTCATAATTCTTGTAGAGCTTTAATTCTCTAAGTGAGGTCTCCTGACCAGCAGCATCAGTATCACTTTAGAATTTGTTAGAATGTAGATTCTTAGGCCCTGCTAAGTCAAATGAATCAAAATCTCTGGAGGTGGTACCTAAAATCTATGTTTTAAAAATTCTTCCATATGATTGTGATTCACACTGAAATTTGAGAATTTATTTCTATTCTCGATGCTTGTGTATACATATGAATCACTTGGGGATCTTGTTAAAATATATATTTGATTGAGTTGGTCTGGTGTGGGCCTGAACTTTACATTTCTGATAGGCATCCATGTGGCGATGATGCTGGTCCTCAGACCATACTTTGAGTACCAAGGTTCTAGCTCTAAAGCTTAGAAATGTTATAAATTTCATATATCTTTATAGGAAAAAACTGTATTTCTCATGTTTGTTTAAAAACTATAGAACATACAGAAATACTAATATATCTTATATATTTTTGTGAAACAAAAAAATAGAGATTTTGAAAACTTGAAGAAAAATAAGTAGAAATTAGAATTTGTAATGTTTTCTAATTTCATCTCATTGGATTTTCCTGTACAATTAAATTTGGAAATCTTTGTTTAAGAGCAGTCTCTGGTTCCAAGTTTAAGAACCATTGTTCTTTTTTTTTTCCATTGTTTTTAATGTTTATTTATTTTTGAGACAGAGAAACAGAACATTAGTAGGGGAAAGGCAGAGAGAGAGGGACACACAGAGTCCAAAGCAGGCTCCAAACTCAGAGGTGTCAGCACAGAGCCCAATGCGGGGCTCAAACTCACAAGCTGTGAGATCATGACCTGAGCCGAAGTCAGGCACTCAACCAACTGAGCCACTGAGGCGCCCCTAAGAACCATTGTTCTAGGACTCCCTCTTTTCTTTCTTCATCTTTTCAGCTATGTATTCAGTGAATATTTACTTCTAATATGTGCCTTATATGTTCATTTTTTAACTGTCTTCAGAGCAGAAGTTCTAAATTTTAATAAGGTCTTATTTGTCAGTTTTTCTTTATGATTTGTGTCTTTTGTATCTTATATGAGAAATCTTTGCCCAACTCAGACTCACAAAGATTTTTTTCCCTACAGAGATTTCCTCCTATATTTTCTTCTAGATATTTCTGGATAACTGTGCATAGCTTACGTTTTACATTTAGGTTCATAATTCATTTTTTAATTTTTGACTATGGTCAGAAGTATAGATAGATCGAGGCTAATTTTTTACATGTAAATGTCCAGTTCTGATACTGTTTCTTGAAAAGATTATTCATTTTTCATTGAATAGTCTTGGCACATACATCAAAAATCAAGTGATCATATATATGTAGGAGTCTATTTCCAGACCCTGTTCCATTCATCTTTAGAGCTCTCCTTTCACCAATATTTCACTCTTCAGTGGGGTAAGTTTCTGCTGTATCTTTAAGTTAGATAGTATCAGTCTCCCAGCTCTGTTCTTCCTCCCTCATCTTAAACTCTTTCATTCTTTCAAATATTATTTGTATAAAAGTATTACATTCTTGTTGAAGAGTAAATCTTGTTCCCTAAATATCAGTTGTACTGGAATAATATGAACTACTTTTTTTAAAATTTTTTTTTCTTTGAGATAGAGAGGGCATGAGTGTAGGAGGGGCGGAGAGAGAGAATCCCAAGCAGGCTCTGCACTGTCAGCACAGAGCCCAATGTAGGGCTCAAACTCATGGGCCATGAGATCATGACCTGAGCCGAAGTGGGTGCTTAACTGACTAAGCCACCCAGGTACCCCAGAATAATATGAAGTTCTTTGACATATTGCTAACTATATATGAAAGTCCTAAGGATATTACTTGTATATAGGCATTTGTTCAAAATAAAAACTTTTTTCTCTCTATTGATATCACTGTGGCCGTTATGCACCTGGACAAATGCAGTTGCTATTTATTTTTAAACTTGCAGGAAAAGCTATTCAGTGAGCTGACAGAATGTTCATTATATTTAGTTTCCTTGTTGGTTGGAAGTCAGACATGGCTATCATGGTGGTATGCTGAAATTATATACAGAGAAAATCCATAGATTGTGATCCTAAATTTCTGTTTCTTCCCTCTCTTAGGGATGATAGAAACAGCACAAGTGGATGAGAGAGCTAAAGGCAATGGCTCCAGTCAACCAGGAGCCGCGAGGCGAGGTGTTCAGATTATTGATGATGAACCTCAAGCCCAGAGCGGTGGCGGAGGATGCTGTTCTTCTGGATAACTGTTCACACTTAAGAGATTAAATAAACTGTGGATCATTGCCCTCAACATGAAGACTGCCATATTCCAAGTCACATTATTTTACCAATGGAATTATAGAATTAACAGTATTTTAAATTACGTTTATAACACTGCAGAGACCTTAAGTGCTAAACTTAGTGGAGTTTGTGACCAGAGAATTGGCATTTTTCTACAAATGTTAACAAAGCAATTACCAATGGCCTTTTTACATATTTTTTTCTTTAATAAGGAATAATATGCATGTAGAAAAGACCTACTTAAAGGCTTCATTTATATTCTTTTAAATCAAATCTTTATTTAATAACTTATATATGTTGTTGGAATGGTATACATTTTTGCAGCCCTTTGTATTTTGTGGTAGTTTGAATTGTATCACTTCTAAACAGCAAACTGTTTTTGTTTTCCTTTTTTATTTTTAATTAGCAGATACCTGAAGTACTATTTTTGCAGGGTTTGCACAGGCCCCTTAACTGTCTACTACTTTGATATAATCTATATACAACCTGTATGCTGAGCTGGTAAAATACATTGTAAAATTACATATTAAATATTTTATCTGCTTTTACAAGCGCAAGGTGCAAAAATATATACAGTAGTCTCATTGATGACTGTAAAGTGAATTAACATTTGGTGATAATGCCTAAGCTTTTTGACTCTGACATAAAGATCATAGCTCCCCTTCACTTTTGTCTTAACTTGAAAGTGGCGTGTTTCAATTTTCACATATACTTTACTTGAATTATTGCTGTTGTCATATTTTTGCCTCTGTAAGTCTTTCTGATGATTGAACAACAGCATTTGCCTTTTGGTTTGTTGGGGTTTGGGGTTTTTTTTTTTTTTTTTGCTTTTTATTTTTGTTTAGGGGGGACTTTTTTTTGGATAAAAGAGATGAATTCTGCTGATTTTGCTTTAGAGTGGTTACCTTAGAAGTATTTGAGTGGAGCATGCTGAGTTTCACTTCTGCAATGGCTTTAGTTTTCTCTTAGGCTTTATATGAGATGGGTTCACTGGCATGAGAAGAGAGAAAGAGGCCCCAGATAGTTGCCACTCACCAAAACTCATTCATACAGCATGTTAATGGGTAGTTTATGCTCCTGGGCCAGCACTTTTAAATCCTTTTTGAGCAAATTACATTTGTTCATTGCTTGCCAGAGATGAACACAGAAAAATTTGTTCCATTTTATAAGAGCTGTCCTGAGTTTCTATGAAGGGAAACATTTCATGTAATGCGGTTATAGCAAACACTGGAAAGATTTATTATAAAGTTATATTCTTGTATACTTTGTAAATTAGTCTCATTAGGTTTTTTTTTTTTTTTTCCTAAGCATAGGACTGAACTTAAAGTTGTTAATTTAGTAGAATCAGACAGTGCTCACAGAGGGATCACAAATTGTGGAAATTAACATACATTGTTCTTGTTCTAATATATATATTTTTCCATTTCTGTCATGCTTGGAAAACTAGTAAATGTTATGTCTAAGATAAAATGGAATGGCCCCTGGATTTACTTCTTACAAGAAGCAGTAGTATGCAATAAAGTTGTTAGCATGAGCAGTTAAGAGGATGTAAAGAGGTTATAGTTGCTAAAGCAGTACTACCATATTTTTAAGTTAATAGCTTAAGCTTTCCCAAATGGGTTTAAAGTTGAATGGATTGACACCTTTATGTTATGCTGTTAGAATTTTTACTTAGTATTAAGGGTTCTGTGAGCCCTCACTTTACCTTCTTTACTTATTCTCCTTGCCAAACCCAACAGACTGTCCTCTCTGTTGTGTGTGTTTGGGGGAGGATGGGAAGAGTCAGAGAGATAAGCTAAAACTGTTTTGTTTTGTTTTGTATTTTTAATCAGATGATTGTATAGTCTCTCAGTTTCCTATGAAGTTTGTGTTTATGCAGGACATCAGGAGAGACCAGGGGAAGGATGAGGACAAGTACAGGAAAAATTATTGTTGCCCTCCTGGTTCTTCCACCAGTAGTAAAGAAAGCCTTGCCATTTCTACTATTATACATGTAGATGGGAAAGAAGCTCTTCTTCAGAGTGAACTGTTTTTTAAACTAATGAGCGATGAAATTGAGCTTTATTCCAAAAAGCAGGGGCGCCTGGGTGGCTCAGTCGGTTAAGCGTCTGACTTCAGCTCAGGTGATGATCTCATGGTTCATGGGTTTGAGCCCCGCGTCAGGCTCTGTGCTGGCAGCTAGCTCAGAGCCTGGAGCCTGTTTCGGATTCTCTATCTCCCTCTCTCTCTGACCCTCTCTTGCTCATGCTGTCTCTCTCTCTCTCTCAGAAATAAATTTAAAAACACATTTAAAAACTTCAAAAAGTAAAATCATTAAGCCTGATAATTGGAGAGTTGTACTCTCAATTTTTGACCCTTTGTTAATGATATTAAATCCAGATCAGAACCTCCGCTCCAAAGTTGCCACATAATTATTGATAGGCTACAACCAGTCTCCATTTTTTTTTTCCTTTACTCTCCTTTAGTTCTGTGTATCATTCTTGACTTCAAGCACTTGATTCTTTTTCTCACCTTGTAATTTAAGCTAATTCAATAGCAACAATAAATACTAAGGAATACCTGTCCTTGCTTTAAAATTTGAGAGGTCTTTAGATAGTCTGAAGGAGGAATGAAAGAGGACCAGCCTATCGCAGAATGTGCATAAAGGAGAGATAAAGAGATGAGAAACTAAGGCTGAGGAAATTTCTCTGATACTTTCTTTACCTCTTTAACATTTTTTGTGTTCCTGTCCTTATAAATTGTGCTATTAGGAAGAAGACATGAGTTATTGTATTGTGTGTTAAAAGTAGTAGGTAGGTAGAACCAATATATTTTTCAACTAGTAAGTGTATACACTTAGTATATATAACTAAAAAGTGGTATAAGATAGTCATTAAAAATACTTGAATATTATGTTAAAAGTATACAATCATTGTTTCTGTAATGATGGTCGGTATTCTGCATCTTGTTTTGCTTTGTGATTATAGAGGAAGATCAATGTTTTTAAAAATGTATATTGCAACAATTTTGGGGTAACAGCAATCTCAAAAAAAGTGTCACATTATACCTTATGAAATATGAGTGTTCGAATTTGTTTTGTTCTGGGAAAATCACCTGAAAATACCCTGAAGCTATGGCTGTTATAGCTAAATTGAAGTCCTTTAAAAAAAAAAAAAACCATATATTATTAGTGATTACTTTTTTTTTGGTATTAGAGTAAGAAAGAAGAATGATACAGGTTTTTAAGTAAGAAAAGATAAAATTTGGGATATATGACAGGAGGTTAGTGAGGAGTAGACTGGAAGTCAGGTAGGTATGAAACTCTACAACCTGACTTTTTATAATTGTTTTGAAATGCATTATCATTTCTAAATAAGGCAAGTTATGCGTTGTACCAAATATTTAGAACATATACAGAATGAATTGGCATACTATTTAATACAATTTGGAATTTTTTGTATTGTAAAAGCTACCAGGAATCTAGATCATTGATGTTATCTCTAAATAATAGAATTTATCCCCTTATAATTACCACTTATATTCTCTCCAGAAGTGGCTTGATCTGTGCCTTTAACTTTCGAAATTCATCTTTTGACTTCTGTTTGCCATACAGTTTTCTTTATAGATGCAGTCTGGCAAAGAAGGAATACATATTTTTTGACTATTAAAGCTGTTGAGATCTTCTAGAAAAGGATGTAGATTTTTGCAACCAGCAGGAACCTTACAATGATGTCTAAAGTACAGAGACTAAGTAGATCATTATTATTTTCTAAATTTCAGAATGTATTGCCTAGATTTTAGTGACTAAAAGCTGGGATTCATTGAATATATGCATTCACTTGATTTCATAATAGACATTGTTCTAGTATGTTGCTGTTCAGTCAACAAAAACAATAATGTATTTGGACCAAAATTCATGTTACATATACGTCTGAGCTTGATGTCTTTCCCTTATCAAAGAAAACAAATTAATCAGAATTCTGAACAAAATTTCCTAAATGCAAATATTATAGTATTAATTGTATGTAATGAAAAAATTTAGAAATGCTCTTTAAGAGTTTCCAATTTCAAGCAGCAATGCTTCTCTTCTAAACAAATGCCACTTTAATTTGATAGACGTTTAGCACTGCTTGTGCTCACTATGATTTCTATAGCATCTCTTTTCTGAGAAGCTGAGTATGCTTTTAAATGTTAGCCTTTCTACGACAACTTTTTCTCTCCAGTAGATGAATGAACATGGCAAGTTAATGTTACATGGCACACCAAGTAAGAATCTTACTCTCTAAGCATCTTGTCCTCTTCAGAGGTCTGCACTATTTCCAAGTGCATCACATTAAAGCCAAACGATGAGCCTGTCCACCTTTATTCCCAGTGTATCAGTTCTCGCCTTGATTTTGATACTTTGGGACAACGGTATCATCTCTTCATTATCAAATACTCAAGAAAAAGCTAATATGACTTCCTTAGGTTCGAGCTTCTGTAGAGCACTGAGAGGTGAGGGCCAGCAGGGATAAAGTACGGTAATGTTGAAATACAGACAACAGTGGTATTTGCTAAACTGTATATTTGGTAGCAAGCTCTTTTAAGGAAACCATCATATGTAGTACTTCCTAGAAATGTAAAAGCTCTTCATTTTTTAAAATTATCTGAGAATATATTCTAGGAAGAAGAAAAAAAGTATGAATATTGTGAAAGTGCCCCTCAGGCACGTCCCACTTAAATGGAAAATATTGCTCTGTAGCAACTTTTTCTCTTCAATTACCTTTTTGCTGTCCATTTATATACATATATTTTACCCATAGAAATACATAGTTTTGTGGGTTCTAAATTTTTATATAAATTCTGCCTTACTATGCATATGTTTTGCAACTTGCTTTTTTCTCTTACCATCATTTTTAGGAACTGTAATGTCAGTATATGCATACTTTTATTTTCTCCTATATCACCTTTGGATGTTTTTCTTTCAAAGTAACTTCTGATTCTCCATGAAACCTTCCCCAAAAGAATCTTGTCAGGTGGATTTCAGTACGTTCTTAGAATGTAGGTGCAAGCCAGGGTCTTCCTTAAGCATGTGACTTGGGATATTAGAAAGGCATCTGCTGGCACACCTAGGTGACTCAATCGATTAAGTGACTTCGGCTCAGGTCATGATCTCACAGTTTGTGGGCTCGAGGCCCCTGTCGGTCTCTGTGCTGACAGCTCAGAGCCTGGAGCCTGCTTTTGTTTCTGTGTCTCCCTCTCTCTGGTCCTCTCTTGCTCCTGCTCGGTCTTTCAAAAATAAACAAACATTGGGGGAGGGGGGGAAGGCATCTGCTTATAATTCATTTGAAGTACATTACTTTGAGCCTACTGTTGATAATTAATATATACAATTTAAGAACTTAGCAGATTCTTTATTCAGAATAGGTTTTTATTTGAGGGAAGAAGGAAAAATGGGGAAGGTATAGCTGACAGGGAAAGAGTACAGAGTAAGATAAAACAAGTCTTTATACAACTCCGAGTAGTTACATAACACAAGATGTCATGGTACCAAAAATTAAAACTTAGATTGGGTCTGTCTTTAATGAAAACAAGAACAGTTCCTTTTCAGATTTCCCTTCCCTCAACATCCCACATCCCCATTCCTTTTGTTTTTGTTTTTGTTTTTGTTTTTGAGAGAGAGTGTGTGCACTGTTAGAGCAGAGTCCAACACGGGGCTCCATCTTCACTAATATAGAGATCATGACTTGAGCCGAAATCAAGAGTCAAGAGCTTAACCAACTGAGCCACCCAGGTGCCCCTCCCCAAATCCCTTAAGAAAAAGGTAACAATTATTAACAGTTGGGGTGTGTATCTCTCATATATAAATGTTTTTATTTATATTTGGCCTTTATGAATTTTCAGTTCTCTGAAATCAACTTCTGTAACAGATTCCAACTTCAATCAACTGACCAATTTTCCGAGAACAAACCAGAATCATACTGCTTTAAAGAACATTAAATCGGTGGTGACAGTTCTTGAACTGGAAGTTAACTAGATTCTTAGTATGTTTTATGTTTATCTTAATTAAGCCTAAAGAATAACTAGCATTCTAGGAAAGTCAAGTCACTGGTTTCTGTATCTTGTGGAAATAGGGTTGGGAAAGAGGAGTGTGCTAATACCTGTGTAAGTCTGAGCTGGGCTTGTTCTCTTAGCTTATTATCTCGAGCATTGCAATTGTCCCCCACAACTACTTTATAGCTATTTCTGTCACATGTTAAGCTCTAGCTTAGCATGTGAGTGCCGTGACACAAAATTAAGTGTATGTGCCCCAGAACAACAAATTTATTCATATTTGACTTCTAATGAAAATAATTCAGAGGGGAAATTAAGCACAAGTTTACATGATTTTGTTAATTGTTTCTGGATGGTCTTATAAAAAAATTAAAACACAGTCTGCTCATCATGACTATTCTATCCGTTTCACTCATTTATTGAGTACCTATGCTCAGTGTACATACAGCAGAG